ATGATATTAAATTAATTTTTTTAGGGGGAGAGCCCACTGACGGTAGCTTGCTACTGGGGCTGTCATGTGTCGCCCAAGCGTTGCAGTGTAGCTCGGGCCTGGCGCACCCCACTAATGCTGTCTAAAAGGGTTTATGAGCGCTGTATTGTAGCAAGGGCACGGCAAGGCTAACCCATTACTATTTCCAGGAGGTATTTAAATATTTGTGGGAATATCTATTTAGTGTCCTGGATGTTTTATTTGATCTGGTCAAAATCATTTTAAAATTTATTATGTTTTGAGTATTTTTCAATTGCAATTTTGAAGTGTAGATAAAACTATGTTAATACAAAAATGGGTTTAAATTTATTGGATCTTTATCTAAATTATTTTTATATTTTTTTATGAAACTTAAGCTGGAGTATTTTTCAATTTAGAAATATATATGAAATTATGTTAATTCAAAAATGGGTTGCAAATTTATTGGATCTTTTAGTGCAGTAGCTATATTGTCTGTTCCTTTTTGAGTTAAAATTTTAATGTGAAGCTAGAAGTAATGTAATCAGAAGCCAGAGCTTGGAATCTGCATTATACTTGATTTTTTCTAGTTCCAATTCCAATTAACAAAGTATTGCCCTTTTATCCCATGAATTAACGTAAATCACTTAATTTAAGCTTGAATTTGAATTAAAAATAGGAGGTTTATCTACCCATCAACAGAGTTTTTTTTTTTAATTTGCAAGGTTAAAAGTACCCTTTTCTGGCATAAGCATACTCCACATGTCTGAAGAAATTCATCTTTGTTCAGAAACCTCACGAATTTGAAGCCAGCTCTATGAAGTTACTTGGTTTGAGGAGTCAAAGTCGTCTTTTATCCCACATTGAAAAGTGAAGAAGACGGAGGTCGAACCTGGCGCATTAAAAGAGAGGAAAAATGAAATCACATGTCATACATACCTGGACGGGGTCATGGGTGATCAAAAAGGCCCATGGCCTAGGTTGTTGGCCTCCATTGCACTCACGGGAGGTGCATCAGCCTAACATCTCCCTTAAGTGGAGAGTGTACGTCATAATTTGTGGCAGTGGGGGCCTGTGTTCGCGCGGCCCCCTCTAACAACTATGCAAATCAAGTTGTAAATTGTATCTATAGCAACTATAAAAATCAAATTATTAATTTTATTTGTTATGTTAAGTGAATAGATAGGGGCATTAGGTAATGAAAATATTAAGTGAATTGATAATGGCGCTAGTTAATGAAAAGTAGAGAAATCCATTAATAAATTATATTCGTAATATTATATGAATAGATAATCATTTAAAGAATAGTGCTTAATTTAATGAAAATTAGGGAAAGATGGTGGAGATTAAGGTAATGGGATGCTGGAGATTAAGGTAATGGAGGGGAAAGATGATGAAAGATGGTGGAGGTTAAGGTAATGAAGGGGAAAGATGATGAAAGAATATGGTGGTGGAGGAGAAGCTCAACATTATATTTGGGTGTCAATGAAATTGAATTATTTCGATTTGTGTAGAGGGGTAGTAAGGAGAGAGGACATGATGCAATAAATAAATTAAGATTTGCGATTTGTGTAGAGGGGTAGCAAGGAGAGAGGACATGATGCAATAAATAAATTAAGATTTGCGATTTGTGTAGAGGGGTAGCAAGGAGAGAGGACATGATGCAATAAATAAATTAAGATTCGCGATTAAGATGTTTTTAGAAGTGACAGAGAGAAAGATTGAAACGATTCTTAAAATGTTGAGTGATTTGTGGGAGGAGGTAAGGAATCCAAGTTAGAGAATAGATAAAGGAGGCGTGGGAGGAGAGAGTATTTGGGAATACAATTCAATTAGAATACAAATTAAGGGAAGGGATAAGGAATACAAATTAGAGAATAGATAGAGAAGGGGCAATGACAGAGTATAATAGATAATAAGTTGGAAAGAGTTAAAAGAAGAGAAAGTGTTTGGAAATAGCTTAAAAGAGAGATTTTAGAGTGTAATTTGATGAATTTCTAAGCTTTCTTCAAATTGTTAAGCTCATATATATCTATATATATATATATATATATATTAAGTGTTAACACTTTTTTAGTAACAAGTTGGTAAAAAGTGTTTATTGGATAAATGAAAACACGATTTTATAGAGAAACATGATAATAGTGGAAATAACCCGTTGTTTATGAAATAACAACTTAGTGGGCATTGTGAAAAGAGAACATTGTTCCGGTAAGTATAATGTCAGTGCCCAAATGATTTGGGCAGTAGAGTTTAGTGACATTTAACAATATATTAAGTGTTTTTCTTAAAAAAGAAAAAAAAGCAAAAACACACATACATATTTGAGCCATTAAATCAAACTTTTTAATATATATATATATATATATATCAAAGATAAAAATAACTTATGAATTTTATTATCTGTTTGGAGTTATTTTTACTATTCTTGGTGTGATAATTATTTATTTTTGTTTTTATTTTATAAAATAATATTTAAAAAATAATCATATGTTAATCAAAATCGAATATCTACAATTTGAAAACTAATATTGGTTTATTGTGTTCATTGCGTCTAAACCATCCCACGTCGAAGAAGTAATAAAAGGAGGAGAGAGAAGAGACCATAAATAAAGACCCGGTGGCATCGTTGCAACATACTTACCTGGACGGGGTCAATGGGTGATCATTATGGCCCATGGCCTAGGTAAGCGGCCTCCATTGCACTTCGGAGGGGCGCTTGCCTAAGGTCTCCCCAAGTGGGAGAGCCTACGTCATAATTTGTGGTAGTGGGGGCCTGCGTCCGCGCGGCCCCTGTCCAATTCGAGTAGAATGTATTGATCGGGTGGCCCAAATAGTTTAAGACTCTGAGCCCCAATATCTAATGTTTTAATCGGGTTGCCCCAATAGTTTAAGACTCTGAGCCCTATATTTAAATTTTTTAATCTTGTTGCCCCAATAGTAGAAGACTCTGAGCCCTATTTTCTAATGTTTTAATCGTGTTGCCCCAATAGTACAAGACTCTGAGCCCTATTTTCTGCCAAAGGCTAAGCTATCCGACTTATGGTTAACTCTTATTAACGATGGCATCTTTTATTACATGATTACATCTTTAGACATTGACTAAATCACTTTGAAACCCTTTCAGCAGTAGGAAAATCAAAATCAGTGGATAGAAAACTAGACAGATACAAATCTCTTAAGTTTGCCTTTAAGATAGACATACTTCCTCAACATCCCTTCCTTTTGGAACCCAGCTTTCTCAACAACCCTTTGGGAGGCCTTGTTGTCTACATCAGCAAAGGCTTCAAGCCTCACCACACCAAGGAAGTGAAACAAAAAATTGGGACTCTCTCTTTGTAGCAATCTCATGTCCCCAATACTTCACTGCAACTCCATATCCGAAATTAGCCCTGCATCTGTCTATCACTGGAGAAGGGGAAGATCGAGAAGAATCTGATCGAACGGTCGTTGATGCATGCTGATCTTCGCCAAGGGTGTGGTATGCATTCATCCTGGATGTGTGTCAGTGTCAAGTCTTCCACATAAGGTATCTGGTGATTTGCACATCACCGGCGCCGGCGAATGAGAGAGAATCATCAGCATCCTCCCGCTTGAACGGACGAAGAGTAATCTTTGCTAAGTCAATCTCCATTTGATTAGATTGAAATGGAAAAACTCTATGGTGACAAAGGCCACTTGTAATGGTCCTGTCGGTCAAAGTATTTTGACTCTATGGAAAAGCTATGTATTAGAATATTGCTTAATTATGTTTCTAGAAAAATTTTCATATTTTTTTTTATGTTTAAAGGAAATTTCCCATATTTTTATCCTAAATAAGAGAAGTTTAAAGAGAAAAATATTAAAACTTTGATATTCGGATTTTTTTAATGATAAAATGTAAAGAGTTAAGTTTGTCTAAGTATATTTTATAAAAAAATTCTTGTTTAATGATTTTTTTTGATAATTTTTTTTATTACAACAAGGTCGATTTGTTACGAGAAAAGTGACTCTATCTCACATCGGACAGGAACGGGAGGTCCTGGACTCCTTATAAGCGGGTGTGCTGCACATCTTTATAAACCCGTTTACCAGAGAGGAGATAATGATACCCGCGGATCAAGCCAAGCTCTAGGCCTTAACGACCTCAACGGACCGGGGTAGGCAAGGGTGGTAGGCCTGTTGGCCGCCTGCAACAGGCAAGTTGTTGGAAAGTTGTGCTACGCACTCTGATAAGTCTATCATCCATTATTTGGATTTGTATACTTCATTTTGATAATTCAATTTTATTTGGTTTGGATGTGATATTTAGATTATTTTTTTTCCATCATCATGCCACAAAATAAAATTTCTATAGATCAATTTTATATATTTAGACTTCTTTGTAGGGTCTTTTTTCTTTGTTTTTTTAATATTTTGTCACATTTCCTTTAAGGATTCAATCCGTAAAAAATAATCATAATTATCTTCAAGATTGATGACCTTAAATCAAACTTTTCGAGTTTATATTTAATACATTATCAATTTATAATATTTATTTATTAACATTTAATTACAAAATGCCATATCATAAATATGTAAAAGTAAAAATTAAAAAATTCTTTAAAATAATGAAAACATATTTTCTAACATTTCCAAACTTCTAAATTTATTTATTGAAGAGGTAGGAACATTTGATCCATTGATAGTGTATAAAAAATCCATACATTACTAATTTATTAAATAGAGTGAATTTTTTCACAATGATTTCACAAAATTATTGCTATATATATATATAATAATAATAATAATTCACTTTTGTATGAATACTTATGTACGCAAAGAAAAAAGGAACAAGGTTAAACAATATTATTTTTATTTGTGCAAAAACATGTTACAAAGGGAGATAAATTGTAAAAGAATATTATAAAATAATAAATGAAATATCATAGACATGATCTTCCTTTGTTACATGCATGAAATATTCAAGCCTTTGTATCAAAGTAGACCAGAAGCTAGAGGAAAATTCCTCTCCTGTTAGTTCCATCACCGGTAATTCTGGGAAGGGGCAATGGCGTCCTTGTTGCAGCTCAATTGTTGGTAGGGTTCATCTGATTAGGAAGGTGGTTTGGCCCTCCATTCAACGCACCTGAACAAATACAGAAGAATCCATTAACACCATTACTCTTACTTCGTCGCTACAAACATTCATGGGTCGTCATTACTGCAGAAGAATAAATAAAGAAATAAAGAGAAAGATTCCTGGGTACTACCTTCAGTCTTGGTGGGTTGGTAGCTGTCACCACCGACCATTCCGCACGGGATCTCGCAATTCAATTCACACCAAAAGCCAGGGGGTGAAGTACATCCTCGTCTTTCCAAGCAATCTTTCATGCAAAGGTCATAGTCTTTCGACTGCCCCACTTGAATGATTGTTAATAACATTGCACAGCACAATACCACCTTCATCAGAGAAGTTTTTGCCATCTTTCCTCAACAATATCTTTCTTGTTTTGCCAATTCTCCTATGCCGATGAGGTTCTTATAGAGATTGGGCAAATGGGTTGAGTTTATAAAGGGTAAAAAGATGGGGGCATGGTTCTGTTAGGTGGTTGTTTAAATTTAGGTGGGATTTGTCTAAAATATGTGTGATTTTGATTTGCTCCCCATATTTGGAGTTTCTAATCTTATCCCATGTAGAATTAACGATTCCCCTGGCTTTAACTTAGAAAAGAATAGGAGATGAAGGATGGTTGCTGTGAAATTGTTGCACAGCAGCCGCTCATTGATAGCAAAATTGAATTATGCAGGTCTCTGGTTTTGGGGTTGTCACTGCTGGAACAGTGAGCATCTTGGCCTGCTGCAGCTTTTGTTATATTGATGTTTCTTTCTACATGTCTCTGATTGAATTGCCTTTTCTGTATTAGCCTGAGTGGATGGCGCCAGAAGTGCTTCGCTATGAGCTATTCAATGAGAAGTGAGTTGTTACTCTTCTATCAAATATCAATTAATCCTGTTTTTCCCCTTGTGTTAGCAGATTGCTCAGTCCAATTAAGCCCGCTGCTCAGTACCCTTGCCTTTCTTCCTCTGGTTATTCTTCATATAGAACTCCAGCTCGATCTTTACCCTCCAAATTGTATCCATCAGGCCTGCCACACTGACCTGGCCGTGAAGAAATGCATGCCTGCAACCTATACCAGCACCAAATTGTTCTTTTAATGTGAGCCTCAAGTTTACGATCTTTTTGAATCTCAAGCTTCTTACGACATGGTTGCTCTTCTTAGTTTCCTTAGCAGCACTTTCTCCTTCCTCAGTAGCTTCCTTCTTAGCTGCCGTACGTCTTCTTTCCTCCTAATGCATGTCAACACCATAGAGCTGAAGGTACCATTGCTTAAAAGGGCGCTCTTTACAAGAGTCTGTGTCCTGAAAGCTCATTGTTCGAGGCATTATATTACCACTCAAGAATACGGGTCGTAACGTGTGACAGCCTCACTACCCCATGAATTCTTTTTACAGTCTTGTTGCTTGACAGCTTAGCGCTCCTAGTATTTGCAGGCTGACGACCAAGTTCATACTCACTTCTTCCTCCAAGCCTTCTTCTTGCTACCAGTGGCACGCTCTCTTGTGCATGAATCCCGGACATGCCCATGTTGGCAAGTGACAGACTCAGTTGATCTCTTTCTGTTACTGATTTCTGACTGTGGCTTGTTACTGTTATTGATGCTTAGAGTTTAGATAACCAAGCTTAGATCTAACGGTATCTTTTGCTAAAATAATCAAGAAACCAAAATTTCTTTATTTCATGAACAATCATATGATCTACATCTTTAGACATGAACTAAATCACTCTGAAACCCTTTCAGCAGTAGGAAAATCAGTGGATAAAAAACTAAACAGATACAAATCTCTAAGTTTGCGTTTAAGATAGGCATATTTCCTCAACATCCTTCTTTTGGAACCCAGCTTTTCGACACACCTTTGGGAGGCCTGTTGTCACATCAACAAAGGCTCAAGCCTCACCACACAGGGAAGTCAACAAAAAATTGGGACACAGCCATTTCACGGCCTTTGTAGCAACCCATGTCCCCAGTACTTGACTGCAACTCCAAATCCGAAATTAGCCCTGCACCTGTCATCCCCGGAGAAGGGGAAGATCGAGACGAACCCGATCGAACGGTCGTCGATGCATATTGATCTTCGCCAAGGGTGTGGTATGCATACATCCTTGATGTGTGTCAGTGCTTCTTCCTTGGAAGTCATGGTCTTCCACCTAAGATGTCTTGTGACTTGTTCATCACCGGCAAACGAGAGAAAATCATCAGCATCCTCCAGCTTGAATGGACGAAGAGTAATCTTTGATAAGTCAATCTCCATCTGATTAGATTCAATGGAGAAACTATATGGTGATAAAAATCTTTTATAGTAGTCTTGTTGGTCAAAATATTATCCACTATATGGAAAAGCTATGTATTAGAATATTGTTCTATCATGCTTCTAGGAAATTTTCTCACAACTTTTTTCCTACAATTAATTAATTCGTTAATAGGAAGCAACTCATAAAGTTCTTAAAAGCAAGCTAAAGAGAACTTGCTTCCAAATAAGGAAATATGTATTCATTAATGGGTTAAATGTATGAATGCTTTTATTTATTTAAAATTCTTTGTATGATTTTTTTTTCTGTTTTTTCTTTTAAAATATTTTTTAAAAATAATCATAATTAATTTTCAGGATTAATAACTTTGAATTAATATTCGAGTTTACATTTGATACATTATAAATTTATAATATTATATACTATCATTTAAGCACAAAATGTCACATCATAAATATATAGAAGTAAAAAATGAAAAATTCTTCAGAATAAATATTTTAAAATTATGAGTATAATTTTTTTACGATTTTTGATTTTAAATTCATTTATTAATAAGGTAAAAACATTTGATATATTGATTAGTATAAAATTTATACAGTAACAGTTTATCAAATATAAACTCATTTTTCGTTATAAATTAATTACTAAATAGTTAAAAAATTAAAACATTTATATATATATATATATATATATATATATGAAACGTGGGTTGAGACAGGGATGCCCTTTATTCCCTTTCCTCTTTAACATAGCTACTGAAGCTTTCAGTATGATGATGAGTAAGGCAGAGAGAATCGGTTGTGCCCAGGAGTCCCAATTGGAAGCAATGGACTAACAATATCACACCTTCAATTCGCAGATGATACTATCATTTTTTGTAGACCGTGGTGGAGAACCTTCGAAATGCCAAGAGAGTGCTTATGTGTTTACAGGCAGTGTTAGGACTGAAAATTAATTTTCACAAAAGTAGTTTGATGGGAGTTGGGGTGGAGGAGCAGTTGACACTGAGGGGAGCAGATAGTAAGCCTGTCAAGTGGGTGAACTACCGATGACTTATTTGGGACTCCCATTGGAGCTGATCATCACTCAATGAGAATTTGGAAGCCAGTCATTGAAAAATTTGAGTCACACTTAGCGGAATGGAAAGCGAAAGTGCTGACTATTGGAGGTAGGGTTACCTTACTTAGGTCAGTTTTAGCTACCCTTCCCATCTTCTTTATGTCCTTAAGGGGTGGTGAAAGAGTTAGAAAAAATTGAGAGGAGATTTCTATGGGAAGGAACGGGAGAGAAACGCAAGATGCACCTAGTGTGGTGGGAAAAGGTGAGTAACTTCAAGGAAAATGGGGATTAGGTATTATTAGTCTCGAATTAAAGAATAGAGCTTTACTTAACAAGTGGATCTAGAGGTTCGAAACCGAGAGAGAGCTTGTGGAGAGAGGTAATTGTGGAGAAAGTAGGAGGGAACCCTAAGAATCTACTGCCTAAGCCAAACACTAATAGGAGAACTTCTAGATTGTGGACTAACATCATCAAACCCCTATCCCTTTCTAACAATTATTTTATGCAGGTTAAACCCAACTTACAGATGGTGATTGGGGATGGATGCAACATACGCTTTTGGACTGACATGTGGGTAGAGAAAGGTGTGCTGAAAAATCTATTCCCGAGGATGTTTGCCCTTGCTAAAAATAAAGAAGGTTTTGTTGGAGAGTTCGATATTTGGGAAGATGATAGATGGTCATGGGAAGTGGAACTAAGAAGGAGGCCTTTAGGATGGGAAGAACATCAATGGCTGGAGCTCAAAGCCACTATTGAGGAGTTCCACCTTTGTAGGGAACTAAAAGACACCGTGGCATGGAAAGGATCGGCCACAGGGAATTACAGTGTTAAATCCTTTTGTAAACAAGTTCTCCTGAAGGATTGTGGGGAGGATAAGACTTGGAGAAATATTTGAAAAAATCTGGTGCCTCACCGTATTGAGATATTTTGTTGGCAGGTGCTGCACGAGAGAGTTGCCGTCAAGCAGGAGCTAGTGAAAAGGAACTTAATTGACCAGGAGGGAGCTGAGTGTGGGCTTTGTAAGAGGGAACCTGAGACGGTTAGACACCTGTTCCTCCATTGTCCTGAGGTCTGGCAAGTGTGGATGAGATGGTGTAGAGAATGGGAGGTTACTTGGGTTGTCCCAAAGGATTTAATCAACTCGTTTAATACTTGGAATGCTGGTTTCGCAGGGAAAGGGGAGATTAAAATCTGGTGCATGGCCTTTTATGCTATTTTGTGGTCAGTGTGGCTGTATAGAAATGATACGGTCTTTAGAGGAGTTACTTGGTGTGCTGACCAGGTTTTTGATCTAGTTAAACTCATGGGCTCAAGCTAAGTGGCCCCTTGAGTATGTCGCAGTTTTAGACACTTATAGATATCCAGCTGAGGGTGCAAAGGTTAAGAAAGGGAAGAGATCCAGAATTGTGAAGGAGTGGAGCAAGCCGTACGAAGGGGAGATGAAATATAATGTGGATGGGGCAGCTAAAGGATGCCCTGGGGAGGCAGGGATTGGGGGCATTATGAGAGATGAAGAGGGAAACACTAAAATTGTCTTCTCAAAAGCTATAGGAGTGGAAGATGCTACTGTGGCAGAAGTCAGAGCAATTAGGGAGGCCTTCTTGACCTTTGCTGGTTCTAAATGGGCTGCCATTCACTCTTTGTTTATTGAAAGTGACTCAAAAAATGCTGTCAAATGGACTAACAACCCATCTGATGCTCCTTGGAGGCTTAGGAAGTGGATCCTGCACATTGAAAGGTTGAAGAAGGAGGTTAAGAAATGGGACATTAAACACATCTACAGAGAAACTAATCAACTTGCTGATAGCCTTACCAAGGGAGCGGTGCAGGGTCAGGTTGATTTGTTGAATGTCTATGACTAATTTCTTGTGTTTGGGGCTCTGACGTGCACTGATTCTTATCTGGGTCTGGTGCATCCTGCGGTGCAGCATGAGAAGGTGGCCGTCGAGCAAGAGATAGAGAAAAGGAACTTAATCGATCAGGAGGAAGCTGCGTGTGGCCTCTGCTTCTTGTTTGTGTCATTGTGCATCTGTGATACTGCTGTGTCGGTTAAAAGGTTATCTCTGACTGTATTTTAGGTGTTGGTGGGAAGGTCTGTGTCTATTTCTTGCGTTCTCCAAAAGGGGCTCTTGGATGATGTTCTCTACTTTTGGCCATGATGAGGTTCTGGTGACATTGACTACTACTGTTTTTTGTGATTCATGGTGTGAGTGGTGGACTCTGGTCTTTGAGATGTGCAGGAGATACTGATGGGTTGTCTTTTGAAGAGCACCTATTGATTTATGGATTTTATGGCTGATTTGTGGATTTTATGGCTCAGGGGCTCTTTTCTGATGCAGCCACTTGGGGAATCTGGGAGTTATGGGGCTGTGTGTGATCAGTGATCGCTTGGTTTGTAAGACCTTGGTGGCTGGTGCTGTGATGATTGAGGACTGTCAACCCCAAAAACACTCATTTATCTTATCACTCTGATAGAGTTTCACTAGTATTAAACTTTTGTTTAGGGATTTATCCAGAACTCTACTTGTTTTTGAGATCATCTGTGTTGAGATGCTGTCAAGTGCTCCTTGAGCAGCTGCTCATTTTGTAATTGTTCAGAATGGGCTCTTCTTATGATAGCTTGCATGCCAACAGGAGTCTCCAAATCTCAACGTTGAAGACTCCCCACGGCATTCCAACTTATTATTAATAAAAACTCATCTTTCAAAAAAAATATATATATGCGTGTGTGTGTCATTCACCTCTAGATTAACTTTTATGTTTGTAGACAAAATAAGAACAAGGTTAAAAAATATTCTTTTATTTGGAAAAAAAAATGTTACAATTGTAATTCTCCAAGTAGCTCCTATTGACTCCATCACCGGCTAAATGCAATTCTAGGAAGGAGCAATGGTTGCCCCTTGTTGCAATCAATTGTTGGAAGGCTTCATTGCATTAGTAAGTTGGCTTTGTGCTGCTGCTGCATTCAACGCATCTGGGAAAGAATATATGGAAGAATCAATTAGCAACCATTACTCTTTTACTTCATTACTACCAAGCATTCATGGGCTGTCGTTACTGCAGAATGAATAAAGGAAAAGATTTCTGGGTGTTACCTTCATTCTTCGCGAGTGGGAAGCTTTCACCTCCTGTCATTGGTCCGCAAAAGATCTCGCAATTAAATTCACACACACACAAGCAGGGGATTAGTACATCCTCGTGCTTCTAAGCAGTCATGCTTGCAAATCTAAACGGCATCGACTCTGCCACTTGAATGATTGTTAATACATGCATCAGCACAATACCACCTTCATCAGAGAATTTTTTGCCATCTTTCCTCAACACCCTTTGTTTTTGTTTTGCTTTTGATGCGTGAAAGATGGTGCAAATTCTCCAATGCCAATGAAAGTCTTGCAGAAATTGTGCAAATGGGTTGAGTTTATAAAGGGAAAAGAGATGGGGGCATGGTTCTGTTAGCTGCTTGTTCAAATTTAGGGGGAAGTTGTCTAAAAATAGTATGTGATTTTGACTTGCTCGCCATATTTGGCGGTTTCTAATCTTTGACAAAGGGACCTGTTCACATTGTCAATATGTGAATTTGAGATTGAGTAGAGAATGCTGGTAAGAATATATAAGTAACAGCAAACATGGATTCATCATTTTGGCCTATTTCTATCTGAATTTCAGCAAAAGGTCTGAGACATTTTGCTGGTCAGGATTACTTCAAGAGTTGAGATCAATGCCACAACTAGGTACAACTATTTCATGAAATGCCCTAGTGGAGGGCAAAATCTAATGTATTACTTGTTCTAAGATAGCTGAAAAGCTTGTTTTATGTTATAACTATTCCTTCCAACGATCTGATCCCTCAGCTTCTTCAGTAACAGGCTTTCGAATTTTGGGAACAGCTTCCGCTTCAAAATTACAATTCCATGCCTGTACTTTGGAGCAGGGATCTTCTGCTTCATTATTTAAGCCAGTCCCAGAATAGGATTCTCCATACTCATGGTTCTGCCTTTCGGGTGGAGGGCAGCCCTGGTAGGAGCTGTTTTCAGAACAATGCCACAAGAGCTTCTCCCAATAAGGGTCCTGTAAATCAAAATAAACACCAATCATTGACATGCTAACTGCTCAATAACCCCCTGTAAAATGAAAAGCAAACTCGAGTAAGGTGTCCATGCCTTAACAATCAAAACTAGGCACGTAGAAATACCTTGCAGACAATGTGTGGATTTCCAACAATGATGAGCAAAGACCTGGCCCGAGTAATCGCAACATTAAACCTTTTTGGATTGCTGAGAAATCCAAGACAGTGAGTTCTGTCAAACTCATTATGTTTGACTGTTGACCTTACTGTAGATACAATAATAACCTCTCTCTCTTGACCCTGAAATTGTTCGACACTGCCAACCTTTACATCTAGCAAGGCCCAGGTTTCAAGTACTGTCTTGATCTTGAGGACCTGCTGTCTGTAAGGTGTTATTACTCCAATATCTGCCTCATTTAGATCAGTACTTGCTCTTAACTTATTGATGATGTCAATGACCTTGCTTACTTCAATTCGATTGAACCATGATGGATTATTGCCTTCTCTCTCATCACAGCCTTGAATGCCAAAGAAGAGAACAGGAAAGTCTTTATTTGGAAAGAGATCCACCTTAGAAGTTATTGAGAAAGAACCATCCTCTTTACATGCAATCAACTCCCCTTTATAGAAAAGCCTTGAAGGGAGATCTAGAATTGCTGGATGACAACGATAGTTCCTCACTAACTTTGTTACAAAGTTATCATCTTCATTGTAGTAGGATTCACACTCAAAAAGCCTTTCAAGATAAGGTTTCCCCAATCCAAAAGCCTCTGCATCTTTCGAAAATATAACAGGACCAAGCTGCTTTGGATCTCCAGCAAGGACAACAACAGTTTCCTTTCGGCAAAGGTTGGCTATAGGAATCATGCTTTCTGGTTCTGAAGCTTGCCCTGCCTCATCAAGGAAAATGTGGGAGAAATGACCACGACTCACACCTTCTGTGTAAAGTAGAGATGAACTCATATAAGTTGATATGATAATTCTATAGCGCTTGAGGGCTTCCTGTGGAGGACATTTAAAAAGTGATGCCTCAAAGTAGCAGAAGCGAATATAATCAGGAGGAACATCCTCATAGGCACGGCTAGTAGCATTTAGCCTAAATATTTCACTCTCCTTAACTTCCACAGTCTTGTTACAGATAAGTCTTTCTAATATGTGATCTGCAGCACTATTTGAAGCAGCACATACAAGAATCCGACTATTTTTTCTTCTTGTATATATTTGTAGAATAACTTCCACCAAAGTCATGGTTTTACCAGTGCCAGGGGGGCCATGAATCACATATGGAGGAGCTCCTTTGCAAGCAAGTATCATCTCAACAGAATGCATCTGCTCCACATTCAGACTACAGGTACAAGGTACAAATGGGGCTGTTTTAACCAATGTCCTTTTGGTTGATTGAGATGGAAAGAGAATATTGTCCTGTAAAGTCTCTGCTGCTTCTACAGCCTGATACAACCTCCTCATGTTCACCCTGTTATATGTAAATTGAACATCGTATAAGTTCCCATCCCGGTGAATGTTGTGAAATTTGTCTGCAAATTTCAAGAGGACTTCATCAGCCTCAACGCGATAGATGTATCCCTGAAACACCACATAACCAATCTTCAAAGTATAAATCAAAGATTGCAATAATGGCAATAGTGAATGCTGAAAAGTCATCTGGCTGAGACTTGGCTATTAGAGCACTCAAAGGAAACATCCCTGAAAATCAATTCTCAAAGGGAAGAAGGAATAAAGGACTATACTAAGCCTCTTACAAAGGCAAGAAGCATCTATTGATGATGGACTAAAAAGAGTGAACACGTATCCTGTTAGTTTAGTCATCTTCATCTAGAGAAGGAACATCATGAAAATTTTCCTATACATATCCTCTAAACGGTGGTTTATGCGAATTGGTAAATATTTGAGAATCCATCATTGTAGCAATATATGTTGACATTTCTGCTTCAAAACTAATATTTTGTCCATATCTTTTGTACAGAAGAAATTTTTCCACACAGTTAGCCAACACTTTTTCTTACCACGTGAAGGCCCATAGCTGCCCATAGGTATTAGTTATGGGTGCAGAAAATTGCACAGATTTAGAAAAATTGAGAATCCCAAAGGATACATAAACCAAGAAAGAAGGATAAGCACAATACTTCTTGTTGTCTTCATTCTTTCCCTTTTTTACATATATAACAAGTAGTAATAAGGAAATTGATCGTGTTGAGCAGAAATATAGGTAAAACCAATTCTTTTGACTAGTGTTTGGCTTCAAGCAGACTAAAGACAAAGGAAGCTAGAATAATTAAGCTTTAGAGTTACAATCTAAGAACAACAGCAATGAATAATTGCATTAGCTTCGGCTCAAGAAACTACTGTTTATGGTAAATAATTCACTGATTCCAACAAACCTCTTTAATAAATGCAAGATAACAAAAAGTTACTGAAGCTCCTGTTCAAGCTGGCCATGGCGAAAGGCTTTGATTGTTCCAAAAAAAAGAAAGGAAAGTTACTGAAGCTCAGACTTGCTTATAGTCCATGCATACATGCTGGAGCAGGGCAGGGGCAAAGCATAAATCTTAAAAATCCCTTACAAAAAACCTCTCTCACCTAATTTGTCACAACATTAGGCGGTCATTTTTACAGTGGCCTACAACCAATACCTTTAATTCTTGTCTCAAATATACTCATTTATGTAGCATCCCCAACAGAATTACAACATGCATCACAGATCAAAATATTCCAACAGTGCTAATAAGCTAAGAAGAGTAAATGATTCATGGGAAGAGATGTTTTCTCTAGAAGGAAGGAGCATACCTGATACACAGAATGATCTGAATTGTCAGAGGCAATCTTCGCAAATATATAATCCCCATGTACAAGTGAAGGCCTCCTCTCAGCTAGCCCAGGCACCTCAAGAGCAACAAACTGTGGCCCTTTCCTCCTCATCATGACACATTCCATGCTATGAGACCTCATTTCTTCCTGAAATGAAGTTAAGACTAACATAAAGGACCATCTAACATTACCATCGTGACAAATCAATCATGAATATCTACCTCTAAATGCAGCTCTTCCATTACGAGCAATGTACTGAAGAAAGCAGCATAATTCTCCTTTGTCAAACCTTCTGCAATGACATCAGGCACATGCTTATTCTCTATTATCTCCCTGATATTTTTTGGGATTGGATATTCCGAAAGCTTAGATTTATATCCAGATTTATATCCTCGGGATGTTGGTCTAGCAGGGCGAGAGGAAACCACATACTCATCAACGGCAAATTGCTTTCTTCTTGGAGCTCTTCTATATGGTATGGCGGAAGCCAGAGACTGGGAGACATTATCTTCAGCCAACAGAAAGACCACACGTTCAATCCTATTATCATCTACGTCAAAATGTACCACAGTTGTGTGCAAACCCATCTCCTTTGGTTTGCAAGACAGCCAAATGGTAAGAATCTGATGCGGTTGGAGTACTCTATCCTCAAGAGAGGATCCCTCTAAGAACCCTTGCTGACGTTCCAAGTTTGAATTCGCTGAATGTGGTTCCATTAGAGACAAAGTAAAGGAATCTGCTGGATTTGAGCAGAATATCCTCACTCCCCAGAGTTCTACTGGCTCACTGGTGGTGTTCTCTAATGTAATTGGCCACTTGGAAGTTTGTCCAACAAGAATGGATTGAGGCTTCTGAGTGAAAGGAAATGGAACTGAGATAATAACCGGTCCCTTTTCATCTAGGCCATAACTTTGCACAGACTTATCATCAGCAAAATCAATGAATCCGATCTCTCCCTTATCACCTATGACAGAGCATTCGTCATCCCAACCATCTTTCCAACTTGCACTCATCACTAATTGATATTGATGGTAGCAGAGATCCTGAAGCGAGAAGTATCAAAGACAAAGAGAGTTAAATATTATACCTACCAAGAAAACTCAGTACCTGTTAAAATATCTATAGACACACAAGATTACAGAATCCATATTCCAGTTAATTGTAACCCTGGGCCGATAAGCAATACTACAAAATTACCAACAGAAGTACCCTAGACGACAAGATTTGTTAAGATCATCTATCCCTATGCAAGACTTCCAACATTACTTTTTGTTATAGACATTAATCAAGCAACCACTCCCATCCACTTACAAATCCTGTGAAAAGTACATAATTGGCCTATGAAACATAGTAGAAAGTACTGATAACACGTTATAGGCCTGTAAGCAAACATTTTTAAGCAACTGGCAGAAAATCATATTCTAAGTACAGAGAATATCTAAACCTGATTCACTTATCCAAGAAAAGTACAGTTCATGTATCTATAACTGATTCAACCAGCATTTGCAGTAATTCCTAATGCATTGACACAGATAACAACAGAGTATTATTAGATTGTTAATCTAATCCAAGTAAGGTATTTACACATTTTTCTGGCATTACAAAAACATTGAAACAGGTTAATGTAATGGATATTTCTAAGATTCTAAGAGGAGAAAATAAAGACTGAATCAACAATGAATTACAGTCTACATTGTTCAGTACAAAACAGCCATTCCAGAAGCCATTTTCAAAAAGGAAAAAATATATATTAAAAGAAAAGGAAAGATGCTGAAAACAAAACCTCCAAAAGAACAATCTTTGATGAAACAAAGTGGCCAAAATTACAAATTTGAGAGCATTAAACATAAAAGAATCAATGCCTTTAAAAACCAAAAGGAAATGACAAACAGTGAAGTACCCACCACCTTTTATGGAAAACCACAGAAAATTTGATATGAAAAGTGAAGAAATTTGGGAAGTTTAGGCAAAAACAAAGAAAACCCAGTTGACTAACCTGGGCAATCTAACCTAAGACACACTTAAAAGTGAGAGTCTCACTGAGAATTTGGTTTTGTTTTCAAGGCTTCTTCATAAGAACAGAAGAAGTAAAGCAAAAGAACAGATGAGAAGCAGTGCAAAGGTTAACCCTTTTTATTTTAACTGTTAAGCTGGAAACTGAACTTCTCAAAGACGATCACAGAAAGACTTTTGCTTTGCCAATCCCTACTTAGCAAGGAAGTTATTCTAAAGAAAAGGAACAGTTTTTATTATTATTGTTCTTCCTATAAAAGGCCCCAAGTCTTGGAACAAACGGGACCCACAAAACAGTGAAGTGCAATGAGATTAAGACACGTCAGATTGGAAATAGGTCATTGGGTTCTTTTGATGACGTGGCAAGAGCTGAGTGCCTGAGTGTACTCTTTGGTCTTCTGAAGTCAACAAGGGAAAAGGAAAAAGAAACATTGCTTGTCCAATGCCACGAACTCTTTTTTTAAAGGAAAAGGAAAACCTTAAATTACGTATTTATGTTGACCTAGACTTCATTTGATGACATTTTAGCTTTTATTTTTTGTTATTTATTTTATTTAAAATTTTATATAAAAAATATAAAAAGTAAAAAGTAAAAAGTAAAATCATATTTGGTTATAAATTAAAATATAACATCACTTACAACATAATTAATTTATATATAGATAAAAAAATGTATCTCATTATTTAAAAAAATTACATATTTTATGTACATTTCTTGTAAAATATTATTTATTTTTGTATTTACGATTTCTATAATTAAAAATCAATGTAATTTCTTTTAAAAAGGTTTCATTTTCTCAGATATTAGGTTATGTATTTTTCTTGATTTTTGTATTATGTGAAAATAATTGATGGAACTTGAATGGTTGATTGTATATATTTTGTGATCTAGAAATGGCTAGAAATTTGCATTTTGAGGGTAATAATATGTCCATGCATAAGATAAAGAAGTTGTTAAAGAAAATAAATAATGCAATGTGCATGAACCATTTTGAATTTTTGATTGCAGACATGCCTTGAATGGGTCGTAAATTATTTAATTTAATGATAAACGTGTCTTAATCATTTTTCAAGAAGTTGAAACAATTAAATTTGAATTTTATTTTTTAATTTTTAAATTATATAATATATTATTTTAAAAAAATTAAATTATTTTAAATAATTTATATAAATTTTTATTTTTTTATTACATTCAATCAAATTTTTTATTTTTATTTTATATTAAATATACTTTTATGATTAATAATCAATTAATTATTATTAATTAAAATAATATTTATCATTTTAAGTAAAAAATATCATATGGTTATATCATCATACCACGTCATCATTTATTATGACATATCGACATCATAAGATATAAAATAATTAGAGATTTTTTTATTAATAATAATTAATCGATTATTAATTAAAAGAATTTATTTAGTTAAATATAAAAATATAAAAAAAATTTAACATAATAAAAAATAAAAAAAATTAATTTTTTAAAAATAATTTTAGAACTTATTTAAATACTATATAAAAAAAATTTATTGAAAAGGTGATGTTTATTGTAGAATATGGTAACATCAACACTTATATGCACAAAAGCACTGCTTCGGAACGGAAGGAGCAGTGTACAAATCACAAAGGCCCATCCCGTTGTATCGATTTCGACAGTCTTCCCAGCAACGATTTTCCCCTTTGCAATTCCACACTTTGTGGCAGTCTTTTGCTTCTGCCTTTGGCACTCTTTCTCCATCTGTACAAGTTCCAAACATACAGCCTTAATTAAATAGCAAATGACTTGAACAAATACTAAGATTTTTTAAGAGAGACACCATAGATAACTAGTCCATAGTACTCAGAATTAGATCAAAGTATTGTGATTTTTTAAGGCTAAATTTTTATAGTTTTATGTAATTTGTCACGACACTTGTTCTGCAGTGATATGGTGATTTATAATCAATTTCATAAGATTTTTGATACAGAGAATTCTGAAAGCTTAACTAAAAAGGTAGCTGCTACTATAGGGTAAAGCAACCATGGCAGTCACTTGTTAGTCAATTGAAGCCTTACAGCAAACTCTTATATCACAGAAAAATTCTAATTAGTAATATTCTAAGCTTTTTTCCATTAAAATTAACAAACAGAAGAGTTAAAGGAAAAGAGTCACAGGATCATGCAAGATGGAGAAGTGGATAGGAAGCTTTACCAGGGATGAAGACAAGGAGGACAAGCAAGAACAGGAATGTAGAGAGTTTCACCATCTCTAGCTCAAGATTAATGCCAGCTAAAGTTTTCTATGTTGTGAGTAAGGTTGGCCACCATGCCATGCATTATAAAGCCTTGAGGGATCTTTTTTTTTTTTGTTTATTTGTCAAGCAAAGGATAAGGATGCAGAGGTCATGGTGTGATGCAAACATTCATAATTCATTCAGTTTTTTGTTCTTTAATAGTATCAATGTTCAATTACAATTAACAAAGTTTTGCCTTATGGAAGTGAGGTGGATTTGCATTAGCTCTTTTAATCTTCTTAAAAGAGAAAGAGACTGATTAAACATGAATCGAATTATATGAAAGTGCTTAAAAAGCTATGGAATCAAAGCACTATCATTTTTTTACTATCTAAAAATAAAATTTACATGCATAAATAAGTATCGTATACTTATTGAAACAAAATTTTGTACGTGAAGTTTGTGGCGTTTTTCAATTCAAAAATAATTAAATAAAAGATTGTTATATTGATAGAGGGGGAAAGCATTTGATGACTTTAAGAGATTCCAAAGAAAAGTCAGTTGGGGAGAGAGGAATCCACAAATTTTCAACTTAAATCCCTTCCAATTTGGTCATGTTAATAAGTTTCCTTAATCCCTTTGCCTTTAAGTGCAACCCCATTAGCATTTGAAAAGAATCCATTTAAAGATAGAACTTTTTCATTTGTTCAAGTCTCAAGTTAGTTCATATGGAAACTAATATCAGACATGTCAAACATTGATATTGTACTTGCTCTTGCAATCTTCTTGACAAAGATTACTTCCATTGCGATCCCCAGCTTTGTGGCATTCCTTTCCTTCTGCCATAGACACCATTTTCTCATCTGTATATGAACACACACACACACACAAAAACCCATTACAAGAACAAGTACAATATCAAAGACAAGAGGCAAAAGAAGGGAAAGCTTTGCCATTTTGGCCAAAAGACTGTTTGTAGTGCTTTGGTTAGTGCTTTTGCTTTGTGATATCTTATAATTTATTTATATAGAACTGCAAAAAGCAAAACAAATCAGAGATTTACCCTAGTATTAAGAATCTAGATTCTGTATTAATTTGACATATCTAGATTGATTAATGTAAGATACTCTTGACAAGAATTAGGAATCTACTTTTGTTTTGGAGAATTTAGCGTCCACTTCAACCTTTTTTTACCCCTTTTTGTGATCTTTTGGTAGGATGAGTGGGGGTATAAATGCTTTTGTGTAATCTGATATAATTCTTGATAGTGCAAGAAAATTAAACTATACATAGAGAGAGATTGGATAATGTTACCCAAAGAGGATATCACCTCAAATGAAATGCACAAAAGATGTAAGTATGAGTAAAGTTTAATCAAATATATTGACAAGGAGAAACAAGAGAAGAGACATAAGACTTTCTAATCAAATCCTCATATAAAAAAAAAAGGAAAGGAAGTTTAAGAGCTAGGAAAAAGGATGTGATCTTAAAGAGAAGAGAAGTATTTATTAAATTCAATTTGTGCAATTATATAATTATTAACTGTGTCATAATTGAGTTCGTTTATATATTAAAAAAAAAACATAAACATAAGCAACACTCTTATCACTAAGCAAAACCTTTTGATCAGGCAATGTTGTCCGATTGAGAAAAATGAACCAAGAGAGCCATGAAATGATGTCATTTGCAACTGCATGCAGATTCTACCAGTTTGAGGATTCAAGGCTGGTGTAGGATTCTCATCCATTTTCTTTTTGAATCTATTGATCCTTGCCACAACACCTTCTCATAAGTCATAACAAAGCATCAGAAAGAAAATAAGTTAATTAGTTTAAAGAAAAAGTTGTGAGAATTTTTGTAAGTATTTTAGATATTGTGGATGCTATCAATGTATGCTGATATTGTGCGATTACGTGTAAACATTCACAAAAGATGAGTGTAGATAAGGGTGTTACAATAGATTTGTGGATATGCAAGAAAATAGAAGATTACAAATAAGTGTATTCGAGGAAAGGTTGAGTATTGCGACAGTCGAGGAGAGAAACACATCCAGGTTAATTTGGAGCAAATACTCTAATAAGAAGACTTAACTTTACCGAAAAATACAAACTTCATAAGATGGAGGAGAAGACCAAAGATGATATGGATTAAACTATCAAAAAACACATTGATTTTACTATTTACTCAAGATATGATCCTAAATTGAGTAAAATAGAAGAATTGAATTGATGCAACTGATCCTTCCTAGTGCAAAAATTCTTAGATTAATGTTGCTATTATATACTACACTTAGATCATTGTTCACTAAAGAAGAAAGGGAGGACAAATTTCAAGATTTAAAGCTCCATATCCGGTAGCAAAGAGCAGTTATTAAAGTATGCTTCAAAAGATTTTGTGAATGAGAAACTCTTCACCAGAAGAGAAAGGCAGTGGAGGAGAAGGTTTAGCTCAGAAAGAGGCAAGTCCGCATATCCAGAGAACTACAAGAACACCCAAAAGTTTTGGAAAGGAAAACCTTCCTCTGATGGCATATGTTCTGCTTGAGAAAAGCTAGATAAGGCTAAAATAGCAGCAGAAAGTATGCATAGTTGATTTAAGTGATTAACTAGCCCCTATGCGGCAACCTCTACACAAATGATATAAGTTTGATTTTAACTGACTCATCTGAGAAAATGTGAAAACAAGAGCCTAGAGATTAAAATTGTGGCCCAAAGAGAGACGTATGGTGTGCAAAAGTACCTTTTATATCTCTTCTTTGAACCACATGGACAAAGTGCATTCCTGCTTATTTGCCCACTCTTTGCCAAGTTAGACCTGGCAAGATCCAATGGTGTTGAACCCATTAGCTTTTGCACCTGCGAAAGAAAACAAAAAGGGATGACATTTCCCTTAGAGAAAGATAGATAGAGATGCATAAAACTCACTTCTAATTCTTTAACTATATGAAAAAAAAATTCCTATCAGCTCAAATGCAAATGAATGAGGACAGACATCTCAGTCTCTCACACCATCAGCATTGAACCAAGAGACCATAATGCAGGTCAGCAGATCAAATCATCCTAGAAACACTTAAAGATATGAAAACGGATTTAATGCTTCTGACTACTTTTACAAAGAGCAATTGATCATGATCTTTTCAATTCAGATAATGTGCACATTAGAAAAGAGCAAGAGCGACACCCCTACCCTCCCCCATCAAGCATCTTCCTTATCTCTTTCAAATAGCTCCTATATTCAAGACGCTATCCATTGGGCACCAGGCCCAAAAGCATGATATGATAATTTAGAGAATTTAAGTTCAGACCATAACTTTAGGCCTCAGCATTGAGAGACTATCTCACACGAACATTTTAATCATTCAATGTTCAGCCCTAAAAATAACTGAGAGAAAACAGCAGCAAAACTACCTCAGCAATGCTCTTCGGCATCGGTTTCCCTTCCGCTTTCAACTTAGCCATCTTCTTATGTGCTTCTTTAGCCCAAGTAAACTTTGCAAGCGCATTCTCAACATCTGCTATTGTACAATCACATTGCTTCGCAGCTTCTTTTTTTTGACTTGTTTGAACATTCTACAAAAAACCAAGAAACCTAAATCCACAATCAGCACATTCACGCACACACTCCACCCATAAACATAACAAAACCAACATCAATAAAAACCAATGAATTCGCCACATAAATAAATTTATATAAAACCATATTTAGATATATTGGCCAAAAAAAAAAAAGGAAAGAAAATTCATGAAATAAATTTGTGGAGGTAGAAACCAACCTCTCCGGTCGGATCACAACCTCCAAGATACCTAATGATGGCTTCTTGTTTCTCGAAAGCATCAGCAAACGTGGCTTCGCTGCTTCTACCGACTATGTATTGCTTAAATGTCCCTAATTTTCTAGCATTCTTCAACTCATCAGCAAATCCTGAATTAACAGCACCGACTTTTAGCAAATTAATTTTGATTTTCAATAACTGTGCTAAATTCCAAGCTAAAGAGTAACAAGGCTGTGATAGAGAGAAAAGCTATATCAGCAAAATGAAATTCAAGAAATGAGATAAAGTGGCAGAGCGGTGAGCAGTGGACTCACGGAGGAGAGTGAAGGATTCAGCACTGGTTTTGGAGTCATCCGTGGAGGTCTTCTTCCCGGTGAAGACTCCTTTGATCGAGTCCATCCATGAGGCATGGACAGGCGACGTGGTGAAGATCGAACGGTGCTGCCGTAAAACTAAGTGACTCTCGGGGTAACCATACCCCAATGAGAAGGAGGAGGAGCTAGGCTTTCTCTTGGAAATGTTGTTCAAGATTCTAGACGAAAGCATTATTTTTCCTCTGTTTCTGGGTTCCGGCAAATGGTAGGGTTTACCGATCAGATTGCCGGGGTTTTTCAGTGAAATAGATGCTCCAAAACGCAGCGTTTGCTCTTTTCTTTTCTTTTCTTTTCCTTTTTCCTCAATCACCAAAACGCTGCGTTTTGATAGAAAACAAAAATTGCTATTTTGGAACTTGAATTTTGACTTTCAATAACAAAATAATATGTTAATTTAACAATTCAATATTAATTTTCTCAATAAAGAACATTATCTTTTTCAGCTGAATTCTTTTGAGTACAAATAGTAGTTAAACATCAGAATAATAAGGAAGAACGCCTGCAGATTTGTAGATAAGAATGAACAAACAGATGAAATTGCTCAACCATTGTTTTCTCTATAGGCAAAAGCCAGATTGTGCAGTGATTAATCAATAGAAAAATGCTTTTCAATTAACATTCAAATTTGAGCTAGCTAATACATCACCTGACAGCCACAAAAAAAAAAAAATTGAAGCTTTAGCTTTCCGATCGATGAAATCAGTTTCAGATACCTACATTAAGGTTACAGAGCTACCTTTTCTTGAAAAAAAATACAAATAAGGTCGCTATACTGCACGAGCAGATGATCCATTCGAACAAAAATCTATTGAGATTACAGCGCCTTCTGTTTCGCGTCCATTGATCGATGGAACACAGAGTTAACTTTGCAAGAGAATGGCGGAAAAAATCAAGAGGCTACAAAATGAGCCCATATAAGTTATCCATATCTTCATTTCTTGCTTCCTGAACTGCAAACAACAATATCCCAACAAGACTATCAGAATATCTAAGCCTTAGTCCGCCTAAACTCGAACCAGATCTCATAGTGATTGAACAACAAACTGTCATGTATATGCTTTCCAAGATACTCGAGCCCTAAACTTGCAAGCCTCCTTGTGCATTCCTCCCCTCCTAATCGAGAGCAAAACTTAATGTTATGCGAAACAAATATGCGCCCATCATAAGGCTTCAACCTATCCACCAACCTCTCAAGTCCAAACCACACAAGCTTATCAGGCATGTGAAGAAAAACAGCACTTGCATATATCAAATCATACACAACATCCGATCCAAACTTGTCGAAATCCATATCCTCACCACGCACAATCAAAGGTCGCTTATGTAAAAGCCCTTGTGAAGGAAGCTCATATCTAAATGCAGCCATTAAGGAAAGCTCATCCCTTTCAAGACAATGGAAATGCTCAGGTTTGAGATACCGAATAAAATGCAATCCAACACGAAGCGTCCCACAACCAATCTCAAGCACGCGTGAGTTGCTTGTTAGGTGGCTAGACTCAGCAAGGAACTCGAACACATCACGGCCTCCTGCCCAGGGCTCCCCGTAATTACTATGGTGCTCTTCAACAAGAAGCTCACCCGGGCATGGAAGAGCTGTGTGGTTGTTTGCTTCAGATCCTTCATAGTGTGAAATGCCCTTAAAGCTGAACATTGCAGAAAAAATTGATCACTAATTTGAGAAGAACGTAACCCTAATTTTGAATTCTGAAGTATTCAAAAATATTATATTTGCTATTCTATTCAAAAGAAATTTCAGCTCTTTACGTCCAAAGCAAACATTAAGTCCCATTTCTCCAACAATTATTTCTTTACAACCTGTTCAACTAAAAGACAAACTTCAAATAAATTTCTCTTCACTTCTCTTTAAGTTAATATCCTCTAAGAATCCTTGTCTTTTCTCTATTTCAGCTTATTTTGAAAGAAACACATATAAAACAGCCATTGAAAATTGAAATCTTGAAAAGAAAAGGAATTAATTTGGGATTTACTTGTTGAGATCCTCCAATTGCTGAGCACGAGTTCGAGGATTGATCCCTTTACGAAGCACATTCTCTTGCATATGTAACCCATTAGCTCGGATCTGATCTTTTACCCATTCTATATCCTCTCTGCTCGTCGAAACCCTCCGATCCCCGACGTCGTCCTGCACTGAACCGCCGGATACGGCGTAGGTGGTGGCGGCGGCGGCGGTGGTGGTAGTGACGGTGGAGGAGGGAGGGCAAGTGCAAGGGGAAGAAGAAGAGAGGGAAGATAAGAGGAAGAATAAGAAGACTGCCGCGGCGGAGACCGAGAGAACTAAAACCGGAATCGTTATCACTACCCCTTTTTGTGATGATGACGCCATTTCTGATCTCCTTTCGCTGCCGCTGATAGCGTTCTGGGAGTTTCTTGTGGATAGCGGAGGACAGAAGCCAACGATGTCGTTTGATTGGCAGGTTCGTTTTCTTTTATAAAAAATAAATTAAATATTGTGGGAGACGGTTGTCGTCATCGAGGTTGAAGAAGATGTCGTTTTGATGAAGAAGGATGCCGTTTTTTGTCCTTTTTCCTTGCCTTACAAGTTTTAAACCGTTAAATGATGATGTGGTTTTGGTGTCGAAATGACTGGGAGTTGGATCTGGGGAGGAGTATTAGGATGTGGGCGACTTCACAGTGCAATGATGTCTAACTGATCAAAATTACAATGTTCTTCTTCTTCTTTTTTTACTTTGCTCCATATATTTTTTATTATTTTTTACATTTACTTAGAGAAAATGTAGAAAGGCAAATCTGGCATGAAGATTGAAAGCATATATAGTGAAAGGTGAAAACTATGGGAACAGCTTAAGCAAGTGGCAACCATGAGTTTCAAAAATGTCATCAGTGGAGAAAAGAGTTTTGAGTGGTGTGATCAGAAATGGTGGGAGCTGAGCAGAGCAGAGCATGAACATAGTGGGACTGCTTAGGCACATGGCTCAATAATTTATTTATTTTTTCTCACAAAAAGCGTCGGTGTGGCTGTTGGGGAAGCAAACTCTTTGGCCTTCTGGGGGGACCATGGTTTACAGCAAATGAGATCCCAATGCCAATTGTTGAAACTTAGGACAAGTGGTTCTGTAATAAACACGTGAAAAGGGAGAGGAAACAGAGATGGTAATGATTCACCTAGGACAGACTGTATCCCAGAGCATACCAAAGAATGGAGCAGCCTTTGCAAGCTCATAAAGGGTTCAAAACTGGCTTTTGTAGATGGGGGGTCACGAGATTTGTTTTTTCCCAGAACTTAGATGAAGCTGAGCATAAAGCAGGAATCTCGGCTAGCTCTTCCATATATAAACATCATTTGGATTACTCCCATGGTGTCATTGTCCCTACCGGATATTTACATATTCAGGTCATTTTTAACTTATGAAACGTTTCTTGTGTGGCGAAATCATGATGTCGTGAAATCAAAACAGACAATTCCTTCCAAGTTGATATGGACTTTGACATTGACACGTGAGTATGCCAAGTAGAGATACTACCAAGGGAAAAAGAAAGCAGCCATTGTGAAGTTCATCAAGGGTTCAAAACTAGCTTTTGCAGATGTGGGTCATAGGGTTTTTCTTTAGAGCTTAGACGAAGCTGAACATAAGGCAGGAATCTAGGCTAGCTTTTTCATATATGAACATCATTTGGGTTACAATAATCATGTTAATGGAAAGTTAACAGTACATATCAAACCTAAACAAACCGTTTTAATGCAGGGATCCTGTAAACAAATATTAAGTTACAGATCCCAGACAAGCCGGCAAACCACCCTTAATAAAATATATGATGGCACAGCTTCCTGTATAAACTCTTTTCATATCTAAACAGGAAACACCCCCCCACACACAAGCAAAAGAAAAGACAGATTAAAAAGACTGAGCAAAAATGAAAATTAAACGCCCCACACATTTTACATGTACTATAAACGGATACAAGATAGCTACTTCTTTTTCATTGTTAGACAAAATCAGACATCCTTCTTCTGTGGCGACTAAGTGTTACTCTTAAGTTGGGATCAGATGAAGTGACCATCTTGCTTCTTGGCAGAGAGGTTGTCTTCAAGGCTGAGCCCTCACATTTTGGACTCTCTGTGGCTGGTGCATTAGTGTCTTTGAATCTGGAATTCTTCCTTGAGTGCCGTAAAAATGCTCTAAAACGATGATCTGAGAAACTGAGGGATTGAGAACCTGAGTATTGCACTGAACTTCTGGCTCCTGATCTCAGGCTTCTTGCCCTTTTAACAATTTCTCTTTCAGCAGCACTTTGCCTTTCTCGACTAGCCACAGTAGAAGTCATGAACCGAGGGAGAGGACGATGAGTACTTTGTTTCATTGCTTTCTGAGTTATCTTAGGTGCTTCAATGACATGATCTTTTACATCTTCTTTGGGGCTTTCAGGACTCTTTAATTCATTCTCATCAGGAATCTCATAAGAAGTTGAGTAAAGTTTTTTGTTCTCACTTAGTAGGAACTCAGCCTTCTTTATTTGACTTGTTATCTCCTGGCATTCTTCTTCTGCTTCTCTCATGTTCTCTTCAAGCTCTGATATCCTTTTTTCTTTTTGCTTCTTCAAGTCCTAGAATTCCATATGTTTATCAGTAAAAATAAATTGAATGCAGTACCAATTACATACAAATTAGATTATAGTACCTCTAGTAGTTCTCTACTAGATTCCACTGCTCTGGCCCTCTTTGCAAAGCTCAAAGAACAGATGGTCTCCCCAACATCTTCTTGACTAGGGCTTATGTGCACAAGCATCAAAACCTTGGAACCATCACCTAAATGAATTGGACTTACAAATTACAAAGTTTCCAACACATAACAACACAACTATAAACCTTTCTAATGTTATGCCTATCCAATGCAAGTAAGCAAGTTTCAATTTTTTCTGCAGTGTCTAAAGCATTGCAAATCCCCATGACTACAGTAAAAGCATGTGGTAGTTTACCTAGGGAATCTTTGAGGATTTGAGTCAACTTGCTATTTCTGCAACCAAAAGAAATAACTGTTATACAGAGCCAAGTAAAGCCTTATATCGTTGGGAATGAAGAAACATTTCAGCTGAGCAATCCTTTAAACATTTAAGGAATCCAACTAGATCTTGCAAACATTCCCAGCCTTCCAATGAAAAGTTTGAACATGACAGCTGCAAGAATCAAAACCAAGAAACTTGCCTGTAAGGCACATGGCCCCTCTTCCTTCTTAGGGCTGCAATAACATCACCTAAAGCAGAAAGGGAAAGATTTATAGCCCTTCCCTCATCAAGGGTTTGCCCAGTGGCTCCTGTTTTCAGTAATCGCTCACTCCCTCCAAGATCAACCATCCATAGCTTGCTTACTTTTGGTCTAGCTTCCGGAGTATTCCCATGTCGAGAAATGAGGATCCTTGTTAAGCTAGATATATGAAACTAAACAGATAACGTAATCATCAAACCAAAATAACCCATCAAGAAATTCAAAATATTGAACTCAACTAGGAACCCACCAGTGTGACCTGCTAGATGCCTCATTCACATTAGTCCATGAGGTAGTTCGAACCCGCCTGCCCTTTGTGTACCACCATCTGGCTTTTGCAAAATCTGGTATTTCAACTTCCGTCAGACCCTCAATTTCTACTGACCCCTTTGGATCTGTTTGAATGTTTAGATTACTGCAGTGGAGTTAGCCAAATCATAGTAAGCCCTCTAACAAATGGCCTTGAAATTT